AGTTAACAAATAAATACATACAAAAGAGTATATACATATATATACACAGTATATATATGTATATACTCTTTTGTATGTATTTATTTGTTAACTGTTAGGCTTCTTGATCTGGAGCCTGAGCCTGAATTTCGTACCATAAACATCAAATGTGAGCTGGTATGACAATAAAAACATCCTTGAATCTTTTTTTTTTTTTTAGCTGTGTTGGCAGCAACATGCTTCTGTCCAGCTCTTTTCAACAATGCACAAACACAAAATCTTGCAGTGTGAATCCTCTGTAATCAACACAGTATATTATGCCAAAATAAGAGGCCTGGGTGACACCTTTCACTACCGGATTACTTGTAGGCTTCCATGGCCCATGAGCAGCTCACTCCCTCTAACATGGAGCATAGATTAGTTTGGTGGATTTGTTTTTAAAAAGTCTACTTCAAACTCTTCACATTAGGAACTTGTCACCCAGGTTCACTTGGAGAAACTGTGTGATCCACCTGGATCAGATCCATGATCTTATATTTTTGTTACATTATTTAAGTCTTTCATGCTGTTTTTCCTGGATTTACAGGCACATTTAATTAGTTGAGATCAGTTGGGGTTTTAATGGTTACATGATTTGCAGCTTTGCTGTAACTGGAATATGTCCATAGCAATTTTCACCAATTAAGTTTCCTCTAAATGTTCTATAGGTATATCTTTAGAAGCTATATGTGAAAATTATAATGTATGCATCAGACAGACTGACATTGTGTGATTGTGTGAGAGGCGACTTAGAAATATCCTCCATCCATTCTTATGAGTTGGATAACTTGAAAAATAAGTACAATAATGTGCCAAATTCCATTCTGGTGTGTGGCTTCATCTTGGTCCCTATCAAAAATTAGGTTGTCACATCAGTCCAAGAAGACCACCACCATATACAGTATATGCACACATATTTGACCACCCCAAAGCTTTGTTGATTGTATGCTTAATAGTTTTTATATTACTTAAATGTATGGTTTCTTCTAATGATTTGGGGCTGAATATTAACCTCTAGCTCCGTCATTGCACCTGGTGGTGGATAAAATTGTTCCCTCCACTCTTGGGGGTCTGTCACTTTGTGCCGCAATGAACAAGCAAAAAAAAAAAGTATCTCTCATTTAATACACAGCGTAACCTTTCTACTTGAATATCTTACACCACAAACATGAAGGTTTACTTGCATTCCCTGTTCAATCCCAGTCCAGAAAAACACTCATCTCAAAAACTACAAACATTCACTGTGCAAATCCGTCAGCAACGGGGACATCAGCTCACCGCTTGTTATTTTGTCAGTATGTCTGCTGCAGGTGTTAGTAGAGCATGACGTGGTGTGTGAGTAAATGTGAGTGTTGATGACATTTACTGCATCTATCCCAATTATCTGACATTCCTCAAAGAAAGGCACCACTTCAAAGTATTCCCTCCACTGAGAAGATCTCAAGTGGTCAGTTCTTCTTTTTGTAAGATAATGAGTTGATATTCAGAACTGATATTAATGTCATCTGGGAGTCCTGATTGAAAATGATTTTGTATGTGGTGAAAAGCCTGACCAGAAGTCTGTGCACGGTGTTTTATTCTGAAAACTTGTCTGATGCTGAAAGGCCTTCTTATCTCTGAGCTGCCATCTGTTTGGATGCATCTCATAAGGTTTAGTTCACATATGTGAGCAGAAATGGAGGAAATTAGTTTATCATGTAACGTTAGTTTTCCGTGAGGTATTATTCAATCTTATCTTTTTTTATTCCATAATAAAAATCCTGTTTGTGTTCTTGTTGTGTTAAATTGTATGGTATTGTATTTTATTGACATGATGTCACGTTGTGGCTCCTCTCTGCAGGTACCAGATACCTGCAGAGAGGATTTGGTCATTTGGTCTTTTGTGTAAGTGAGACCTAAACTTTGAGTGAAGCCTGAACTTTCGGCTGCACAGAGATAAAGTCCGTTACGAAAACAACTGCTACAATCGGATTATTAAATCTCTGATCGAAGATCTTTACCCGAAGAACAGCCATTAGCTTCTTCCGCTAGCATTGTGGCATGTTAGGTGGTTTGAAAATAATATTTTATTTATTTATACAGGTAGTCTCATTGAGTCACGAGGACTCATTTTCAAGAGAAACATGTTTTTGGATCAGATGTTGGGGGTTAAGGGCCTTGCTCAAAGGCCCAGGGTGGGGCCAATGAGGTTGTGGATGTTTCACCTTTCTCACCCACATTTTGATGTTATCGGTCCAGGGAGTCGAACCCGTGACGCTCTGATCACAGGCCCACCTTCTCTAACCTCTGCGCCACCACTCGCCTACTATAATATGTTTACAAAACAATAAAGAAATCTTTAGTAATGTTTAGAAATAGATTACATGACACATTAGCTCTTGATTGAAAAAAATAGGGAAATAATTTTGTTTCTTGAGTTTACATAAAAAATAAGTCAAATGGCAGACATAAAGATGGTCTTTTAAAAGTCATTATAGAAATTAAAAATATTCATTTATATTGCATCAACTTTATACCTCAAAATAGTTTTTACTAAAAATTAAACTTTTTCAGCCTATAAATCCGTAACTTACATCTCAAGCCGTAACCGGCAGCAACGTCTCCAGATGTCTAGCAGTTTGGTTAACAGTACAAGTTTTACCGGATAATAATCATTATTTTGTGAGCTTATTTTTAAAGATTTAGAGGATTTAGTCCTCTGAAAGTCTTGAGGGGAAAAAAAAATCTGCCACGTTTATTTTTGTTGTCAATAAACTCGTCTGATCCTGAGGGATCCTAACATTATCTCAAAAATTTACTGACATCTACTGTTCTTTCATGGGAAAACTCACCCTATTGAAATCCATTATAAATGCCTGTTTTAATCCCATATTGATCAAATCATGAAATAATGCATTTGTTTCAGGTATGATTTTTTTCACTTCTATTCCTCAACTTTCCATTTTCATATTAGCCTATGGCATGATGCTCATTTTTTAGATTTGAGAGACTCTGTAATACTGTCCCCTCCTTTACGGCTGCAGCCCAGTCTTTCATCTCATTGGATGTAAAACTGAAAAAGCACACCTGTGTTGTCCATTAGCAAACATTTAGTACAATATAGACCCACATGCATGCAGCCTAAGAATCATCCATGTCACCAAAAAAAAAAATAAATAAATAAAAAAGCTCTGTGTCCAGCTTGTGCAGGTTTGACTGAAAACAAGGCTAACTTGTTGGCGGTTAGACCAAAACTGTAAGCTGGAGTTTCTCAATTATGCTATAATTAATAGGGTAATAGGGGTGCACCGATTGCAGTTTTCTGGCCGATCACCGATTTCTATAAAGTTTGACCTGCTGATTCCGATTTCGTCCAATACTGATTTTGTTTTATAATAGGCACTGTCAGGTGTTATAAGGTCTCAATGCACCTTCAATTTTCAATCTTATTTTGTTGAAAAACAGACCCTTGAACAATATCCTAGAAATAATACAAACTTGTTTTAACTGGCCATGGGGTAGTGCTCTGAAATATAAATTAATTTCAGACAATTGTTGTTAAAACTAAAAAAATCGGTAAAATCGGTTTGTCATGCAAGTATCGGACGATTTCCGATTTCCCCAAATTAAGGAAATCGGGGCCGATTTATTGGTGCACCCCTAAAAATAATGTAGATTTTTGTTTTAAATTAACTAAATTGTAGAGTTTGTAAAACTAAAGGCCCTTAACCATGTAATTTTTTTAAAGTATTTAATTTTTTTAATGTTTTTATTTTTACTTTTTATTTTTTGTGGGGCTGAGGAAACTTTAAAAGATGTATGTTTATGTGGAAAAAGTAGGTGGACCAAACTAATAATAAATAGTGTTTTTCAGCAATTATAGAGGGTGATCCATTTTCCCCACATGAACAGTTATTGTCATAAAGTTAAATGACCTTTAGAGGTTTAAGAGTATTTTGTCATTAACATGCAGTTTATATGCTTAAGACCCTGTGATGGGCCTGCGACCTGTCCAGGGTGTCCCCCGCCTCTCACACAGTGATGGTTGGACATGGACACCAGTGACCCTCGTGACCCGAAAAGGAACAACCAGGTAAAGATAATGGATGGATGGACTCTTATTGTGAAAGGTTTAAACAGAGCTGCTGAGTAAAAATAGCAGCTTGGACTGGTTTAAGAAAATCCTCTTTGTTGGTATTATGTAGTTTATCCAGTAAAGATTCACCCATTACTCTATAATAATAATAATACATTTTAAAAAATCTCCTCATGTTGACTTTAAATCTTGATGTTTGGCTATAACCTCAAAACTCGGATAAAAAAAAAAATCTTCCTCAGTTTTTGTTTTCTTCTAAGTGGCCTTAATACTCCGTTATGTAGGAGTCAAAAATGAAATAGGCACGTACTGTAGATGTGTTTATACCAGGCTCAAATATAAAAACACTACAGTTCTGATGACATTAGAGAGCTAACTTTAATCTTTTGCTAAAAGGCTACATCAAACATAACAGACTCTTTTGTCAAGGATGGACAGGTAACAGTTTTAAAGTACTTGGTGTATTTTTCTCCAGGTGACTGATTTCAGAAACAAGCTATAAGACCAGTGTGTCGTCAGAAAGTGACTTCCTACTGCAGCAACGTAAAGTATCAGAAAATACAACTTCACAGGGCAACGAGAAAGCAAACAGAGGATGCAAGTATCAAAACTTGTATAAATTTAAGATTGCAGTCATTTCTAAATCCTAAAAAAAAGCACTACATTTCCACAGAATGCTACTACTAGTTTCTCTTCAGACACACAAACACAAACGTTTTTACAGCTGCAGATAATGTGTTGTGTTGGTACAATGCAAAAGTCTATTGTAGAGGAATACATGCTGTAAGGGAAAGCACACGTCTCTTCATATTTGAGGGTAATATTGTAGAAATACACCGTGATGTTGACGTTTAATTATCTGCCATTAAAATCTTTCGCCTGCAGAAGCCCGACTCTGTTCCTGAGATTTAAACACGGCAGATTTGTGTTATGTAGATCCACTCCAGTCCAGGTGTCACGACCGGCGCTTATGTGGAATAATACAATCAATCAGACTTACCCAAACAAACCCACTCGTGTCAGATCACTTGGTCACCATGACTCACAGTGAGCTGCAGTCTCAGCTGACAGAGCTCATTTTACCATCACCTGCCACAGTCAGTCAAACATTAGTGCAATTAGTCGAGGGCGGCGTTTCCGCTTTGCTGCGAATCTCCTTGATGTCGTTAAGCGGACAGTCTCCGCTGCCGATCTGGCACTTGAAGACTTGCTTGTAAGCCTTCCTGAAGTTCTCCGACAGGAAGGCGTAGATGACTGGGTTAACCGAGGAGTTGCTGTACGCCAGGCAGTGGGCCACCACCCGGAACACGAAGGAGGCCTGGTTCAGTGGGAAGTTCCCAAACTCCACCCAGAGGTGCACGACGTGGTGAGGGAGCCAGGACAGGCAGAAAACCACCACCACCACCAGCACGGTCTGAGCCGTCTGCGAGCCAGAAGGGACAAACACAAGAGGATTTAGTCAGTGTGCTCATGGACTACAGACACAGTTCACCTGGGAAGGAAGGATTATTTAGAATAAAAGAACGTTTTTTAGATATCAGTAAACTGGAGACCTTTTTTAAATTAATAGTCTGTGCTGATATTTTTCTCAATTCTTGCAGTACCATCAACCCTCGGTAGCAAACGAGAGACAGCTAATGAGATTTTTATGTTTTTATGATGCAGATGATGCACACTGACACTTTGTGAAGGGCTGAAGATAAAAACAATGTTTATGTGAAATAACTGAAATAATCTCAAGCACACAGGATGGACATTATATTCCAGAGGGTCATATTAGTTCAGCAAAAAGACAAAACGATTCAAACTGAAAAAGAAAAAGAGGCATAAACAGATCAAGGTTCAAGGTTCTTTATTGTCATTTGCATCACGTGGTGAGTTTCACCTCATGGTGGAACAAAACTGTGCACTCAAGGTCCCAGTTACACCCAAAAAACAGTATAAACTATAAAAAAGGTATACAAGGATCTAAAATATACACTAAACAATAATAATATAATATAATGTGGTGTATTAAACAGCAGCCTGAACATGAGTCTGTTGTGAGCAGATGGGAATGAATACAGCAGCATGGAACAGATCAGCAGCACAAAGTGTCAAAATCTTCAACTAAAGTGTCATTACAGTGATTTTTTTTCACAGTGATTATCCTGATTCTCATGAGTCTAACAGCCTCAGGGTAGAAGCTGTTCCTCAGTCTAGTGGTTCTACTCTTAATGCTCCTCAACTTCCTGCCTGTGGGGAGCGGGGCAAAAAGTGTGTGTGCTGGGTGAGTGGGGTCCTTCATGATGCAGGTGGCCCTCTTCCTGCATCTGGAGGTGTAGATGTCTGTGATGGTGGGGAGACTGACTCCAACATCTTCTGTGCAGCCTTCACCACTCTCTGCAAAGCTTTTCTTTCTGCAGCTGTGCAGCCTCCATGCCACACATTGATGCTCGAGCACAGGATGCTCTCCACTGCACACCTGTAGAAGGAGGTGAGGACTGAGCTTCCCAGACCAGCTCACCTCAGCCGTCTGAGGAAGTAGAGTCTCTGATGAGCTTTCTTGATCAGGCTGGTGGTGTTGTTGCTCCAGCTGATGTTGTCATCCAGGTGTACACCCAAGTACTTGTTGCTGGAGAACACTTCCACCGCAGATCCTCCTATGTTGGGGGGAGGGGGGGTGGGGGTTTGCTCCTTCTGAAATCCAGTCATCTCCTTTGTCTTCTTCAGATTGATGTGGAGGTTGTTCTTCTTGCACCAGCCCTCCAGGTGTTCCACCTCCTGCCTGTAACCGGACTCATCATTGTTTGTGATGCATCCAACCACTGCTGTATCGTCTGCAAACTTTAAAATAAGACAGCCTGGATGAGTAGGTGCACAGTCATGTGTGAGCAGAGTGAACAGGAGGGGGCTCAACACACAGCCCTGCGGGGAGCCAGTGCTGAGGGTTATGTTGGAGGAGGAGAAGTTCAGCCAGAAAACAGCTTTATCTGCTTTACTTTTACTTGATTCAAACTTACAGAAAATAATAATTGATTGTACATCTACAATCCAATTCAAGATGGTCATTACACCTAATTACTGATAGCAAACACACAAATATACATTTTAAAGTTTGAGCCAGAGCTAGGTTTGGTCGTAGCTGTGAGCCGTGTCCAGTGCTAACAGATCATATGAGTGTACATGCACTAGTTATTTTCCAGATTTGACCAAAACAGTCACAGTGCTGTCATTCTCAAACATAGAACGATGGCCATAGTTTTAAATTTTCGCATTAAATACTGTGGGTGATATATTACTTTAGCCTTTGCTAGGCATTTATGAGGTTGTAAGAAGGACGTAATGAGGATGAGGATTAAAAATAGTTGTAATTAGAATAAAATGATCTCTATGTTTGAATCATTCATCCTTGTTCTCATTATTTCAACACAAGCACCATCAATAATCAAGGCAAAACATATAATCCCTTTTCAGTCACACTGCTATTCTGGCAGGAATATTGTTAATAAAGATTGTTCATGAAAAATCCTAAAAAATCATTAAAAAAAGTACTTTGTCAAAATCAATTCAAATGTTCCCATAATTTTTCACTTTTGTTTACTGCCCTGTAGTGTTCCTTTGAGGAAAAAATCAACCCATCAAAACCCATTAAAAATGTATTAAATTTCCTATTTATCATAATGCATTCTCTTCAGTTACAGTTTTGTTTTCCTGGACTCCTCTTCTTTCCATTTTTAAATCAGACTACTGGATGGTGCGCTGTTTGTTTGAGGGATGCCGTAATATCACCGGACAGACCGCTACGACTCCGGCACCTTCTACACCATTACAGTTTCCACAAGCTCATTTGCTGACTCTTAAAAAAAAAAGTCAAATAAAAAAATTCCACTGGGGTGTCCTAAGAGGAATAAAAATGCCTCCCCCCTGCAAAAAAGTTGCCATGAACTAAATAAAGTAATAAATAATAAAGTTTTGTAAAACTAAAGGCCCTCAAGAAGTATGCAAAACACAAAAAGTCATTTAAAGTTGATATTTTAATATCAGGTTGAAAAGATTGACTAGTCTATGGTGCATGTAAAATCTTAATAAACAAAGTTTTTTTACAGTTAAGGGTTTTGATTTTTCCCACTGGAAAAGTTTTAAAGTTAAGACAGTTAGAAGAGGGTTGATACTGAGTTCATATGATCTGAACCATTACTTTAAATTCATCTAGGGCCAAATGGACACAGTTAAATGGCCGGGCTGCATTTTGCCCATGAGTGTTATACCACTTTAACTTTCCTTTTTTTTTGTAAATAATATTTTTATTTTTTTCATAGACCCATAAATCCCACATTCCCATAAAGCTGCCTTCAAAGGAAAGGGTCAAAATCATGAATTTATTATATTTTTAGCCGCCTGTGGGTCTGCAAACTTTACCAAAAAAAAAAAAAAAAGCCTGCCTGCTCTAAATACCACCAGTTAGCAGCCGCAGTTCTCAAGCTTTTATAAAGAGGTTTTAACAGCTACAAGCTGAAAATCAAACCAAAACACGAAGATAAAAGATTTAAAAAAGAAAAATAATTAAAAATCTGCAGAGGAAACAGATTCCCCAGTGGTTTTCTTCTCCTCTCACAACATGATCAAAGAAAGAATATGGCGGCTCAACATTAATCTGTTTTATAGATAGATCACTGAACCTCACGCTGCAAAGGTTTACTTATGTTTGTGCTCAGGACATGGATACTGCAAGGAAATAATCATAAAGAAATCTGTCAAAGTGCTTAAGATTAACCAGAGACTGTTTATCAATCACAACTTAAGCCTAGCATTAATTAATCTTCTCAATGGTTCGCTGCTATAAGAACCACTGTTTGCAACATTTAGGGAGAAAGTGGTCGAGGTTATTAACTCTAGCAAGACTAGCAGGAGAGCCGAAGCTGGAAAGTGTCATTAAAAAATACAAATAAATCACAGGCGGCCTGATCAGTCTGTCCTCTCGTCTTCCGTTCCACAAAAGCTGACAAGAGGATTTATTTGACAATTAATTAACTCACACCACAGCAAACAGAAACATGGCAAGTCTGCATAATTAGAAAAGATGTGCCTTCCATATGTTGTTATTGAAGGAAAAGAAACGCGTGGAGCGAGGAACAAATTAATTTTCTTAATCTCGTTACTTTCCCATGCAGAATGCAGCTTACTGTAAAAGCAAGCAAAGTAAACTTTGACAGCATGTTAATAAATAAACACAGAGCATAACATGCAGTAATAACAGGAATTCAAAGGTATTAAACTGGTTTAGGGAGACAGGTTTTTAAAAATCATGGCAGATCATAAAATTGAAAGGAGTCTGATGTCAGAGAGGAAGATTTATTATAGTCAAAAGTTCGAGCGGAGCTTTAAATTCACTTTACACCATAATGAGAGTAAAAAAAAAGTAAGTTATAAAAAACAGTCACATGAGGTCTCATTATGGTTTTAGTTCTACATCCAGCAGTATCTTTGTGGATTGTCTACAGTTATACAGCGGTTCGTTTGTTGGCCCAGTTTGCAAAGCTTCATGGAGTTAAGAGTAGAAACAATAGCGGAGACTTGTTTTCTGTCTTTTAATGACTCCGCTCAGGTCACTCTTTTCTCTCATTGTGCAACTGATGAGAATGTTTTTGACTGAGGAATGAAAACATGTTTTTGTCTCAACATTCAGTTCCTAGACCTAATGACTCCCAAACTAGAGAAGAGATTTATGGCTGTTTGAAGAGAGCCGGATCTTGTGGATCTGTTCTTTTTGAAGAGTCCTTCAAAAGATCAGCTTATTTTTATATTTATTTACTTAAAAGACCTGCCTGGGTACATTTCCCCCCAGAAAATAATCACTGGGAGGACTGTTAGGGAAAGAGTTCAATCAGAATCATTCAAACTTAAGCATCTCCACAACATATAATAATAACATATTTATATATTCATTCAAATGTTATGCATAGTTTTACCATATTTATCAATAATTTATGGATGGTAAATGTAATTTATACATTATAAATAATGAAATACACATTCATCTTTTTTTCCTGCTATATTAGTCAAGCAACCTGATCAAGCACACTTAGTGTTTATTGCTGGTGTTGCCAATACTGCAGTTCTTCTTTTAAACAGTAGGTGTCACTAATTTAAAAAAAAACCTCTGAAGAGCAGGAATTACAGCCACGAGATGAGTTGTCCAGGAAAGAACTGTTTTATAAACTAATGTTTTTCATACCGGTTCTTTTTTTAAATATAAGTACGTGTTGTCTGATTCAGTCCAGCTCATTCAATTTAATCTGACTCATTTAAAAACTATGCTGTCCCTGATTTTCAGAAAATACTGACAATGTTCTTTGCAAAGCAGAAGCTTTAAAAATGTATTTAACTCATCCGCATAAACATGAATCACTAATCTTTTTCAGAATGACAATGTAGCAGCTT